TCAGTACAGAAGAAAGAAAGAAAGAAAGAAAGAAAAGAAAGAAAGAAAGAAAGAAAGAAAGTATTTGAAAGAAAGTAAGAAACAAACCAACGAACATATATATACATACAGAAGAAAAGAAAGAAAGAAAGAAAAAAAAGAAGGAAGGAAGAAAGAAAGAATTTGAAAGAAAGAAATGATAAGTACAGGAGAAAGTAAGAAAGAAAGAATGTATTTGAAAGAAAGTAAGAAACAAACAAACGAACGATCAGTACAGAAGAAAGAAAGAAAGAAAGAAAGAAAGAAAGAAAAGAAAGAAAGAAAGTGTTTGAAAGAAAGAAAGAAAGAAAGAAAGAAAGAAAAAAGAAAAAAAGAATAAAAGAAAGAAAGTATTTGAAAGAAAGTAAGAAACAAAAACGAACGATCAGAAGAAGAAAGAAAGAAAGAAAGAAAGAAAGTATTTAAAAGAAAGTAAGAAACAAACCAACGAACGAACAGTACAGAAGAAAGAAAGAAAGAAAGAAAGTATTTAAAAGAAAGTAAGAAACAAACAAACGAACGATCAGTACAGAAGAAAGAAAGAAAGAAAGAAAGAAAGGAAGAAAGTGTTTGAAAGAAAGTATTTGAAAGAAAGTAAGAAACAAACCAACGAACGATCATTACAGAAGAAAGAAAGAAAGAAAGAAAGTATTTGAAAGAAAATATTCAAAAGAAAGTATTTGAAAGAAAGTAAGAAACAAACCAACGAACGATCAGTACAGAAGAAAGAAAGAAAGAAAGTATTTGAAAGAATGTATTTGAAAGAAAGTAAGAAATAAACCAACGAACGATCATTACAGAAGAAAGAAAGAAAGAAATAAAGTATTTGAAAGAAAATATTCAAAAGAAAGTATTTGAAAGAAAGTAAGAAACAAACCAACGAACGATCAGTGCAGAAGAAAGAAAGAAAGAAAGTATTTGAAAGAAAATATTCAAAAGAAAGTATTTGAAAGAAAGTAAGAAACAAACCAACGAACGATCAGTACAGAAGAAAGAAAGAAAGAAAGAAAGAAAGTATTTGAAAGAAAGTATTTGAAAGAAAGTAAGAAACAAACCAACGAACGATCATTACAGAAGAAAGAAAGAAAGAAAGAAAGTATTTGAAAGAAAGTAAGAAACAAACCAACGAACGATCAGTGCAGAAGAAAGAAAGAAATAAAGAAAGAAGGTATTTGAAAGAAAGTATTTAAAAGAAAGTATTTGAAAGAAAGTAAGAAAAAACCAACGAACGATCAGTACAGAAGAAAGAAAGAAAGAAAGAAAGTATTTGAAAGAAAGTAAGAAACAAACCAACGAACATATATATACATACAGAAGAAAAGAAAGAAAGAAAGAAAGAAAAAAAGGAAGGAAGGAAGAAAGAAAGAATTTGAAAGAAAGAAATGATAAGTACAGGAGAAAGTAAGAAAGAAAGAATGTATTTGAAAGAAAGTAAGAAACAAACAAACGAACGATCAGTACAGAAGAAAGAAAGAAAGTATTTGAAAGAAAGAAAGAAAGAAAGAAAGAAAGAAAGAAAGAAAGAAAGTATTTGAAAGAAAGTAAGAAACAAAGCAACGAACGATCATTACAGAAGAAAGAAAGAAATAAAGAAAGAAAGTATTTGAAAGAAAGTATTTGAAAGAAAGTAAGAAACAAAGCAACGAACGATCATTACAGAAGAAAGAAAGAAAGTATTTGAAAGAAAGTATTTGAAAGAAAGTAAGAAACAAAGCAACGAACGATCATTACAGAAGAAAGAATGAAAGAAAGAAAGAAAGAAAGAAAGAAAGAAAGAAAGAAAGAAAGTATTTGAAAGAAAGTAAGAAACAAACCAACGAACATATATATACATACAGAAGAAAAGAAAGAAAGAAAGAAAATGTGATAATTTATAGCTATTAAGAAAAAAGAAATTAAAGAAAGAAATAGAGAAGAAACAAACAAAGAAAGAAGAGAGAAAGAGGGAAAAAGGAAAGAGAGAAAGAAAGAAATAAAAAAGAAAGAAAGAAAGAAAGAAAGAGAGAAAGAAATAAAGTCGTCTCGTCGAAGAGAAGAATAATAAAATCTAAAGAAACAAAGAAGCAACAGAAATACACATATTCAACTAGGAATGGCAGCAGACAATCCAAGAGAAGGAAGAATTGAAGAAGAGAAATGAAAATAAAATGCTTGAAAAGAAAGAAAGGAAGAAAGAAAGAAAGAAAGAATGTCGGAAAATACTTGTAAAAAGAGAAACCTAAGACCTTAGTTTGGAACAAATAGAAAGAAAACGTATGACAGAAGAACTGACAATTCTGTTCAACTTGAACTACACTGAATATATCATTGATACGGTGTGGTCTGTCTTGACAGAAATAGCTTCGTTTTTCGATATATGTAGGTCTTTTTTTATCGTTTCCCACGTATCATTTAATTTGCGTCGGTCCCCTACGGCCATTGTTGTACACCAATGATTAACCAACCACCACTCTCTTCCGCCATTAACATCTTTCTCACTGTCTTACTCTTTTAACAGTCTTCATCGTAAAGAGATGCGTACGGAATAAGGCGAAATTAAATGAACCCAACTAAATAAGAAAGAAAGAAATAGAAAAAACAATCTTCTCCTCAAAATGAACTTAGACAAGTCCAGATTTGAATTTATCATCTTCGCTATTTTTAAGAAATTTGTTTGTTTTTGACTTGGGTGTTTGTGTCGTCTGTTCGTCGCAGACGAAGAGAGCGCTTATTTCAGTAGCGGGAATAGAATGTCGTCTGTTTTAGTCAATTTCTGTTTTAAGAATAAGAATTATTTGAAAATAAAAAATAAAAAATCTTCGCTAGTTTTGGTGGTTATTTCGCTAAATAAATCAGAAAATAGATTTTCAAAAAGAAAAGAAACTATGCAAAAACAAATGAAATGAGAAAAAAAAAGCGCAACGGTAATTTAAACAACTCTAAATATACACGGCACATATATACATAAACAGACGTGTGTGCATATATATATATATATATATATATATATATATATATATATATATATAATCAACACGACGCTGGACATGCGAAAAGTTAATTCGAATTTCTTTTCGTTGCATCTTTCCATGTGATTTACTCTTTCGTCGACTTTTTATTCAAACCGAAAATAATTACGAAGAACAAAACAAACTGACTGCTAGGAATATGCTCATGTCGTTTCTTTTACAAAACAAATCTGGAACTGACTTGAATGACGACAGGCCCATTATAGTTAACCGCTGTGGTTCGGCCAAAAAGGTGAACTTTTTATTCATTTCATTTCACTAATTTAAAACGATCAGTAGTAGCAGTATTAGTAGTATCAGTAGTAGTACTAGTAGAAATAATAATAATAATTATAATAATAATGATGATAATAATAATGATAATAATAAGACATTCTTATTAAAGACCACAAACAAAAAAAGTGCCTCCTTATTGATATGGCAGTCCCTGCTGAGTACAATGTATCTTTGAAGATATTCAAAAAGCTGTCAAAATACAAGGACCTTGAAATAAAAATCTTAAAAACGTGGCACATGGGAACATCAACAAATCCCTGTTGTAGTTGGAGCCCTAGGATTGGTTCGTAAAGATTCCAGTAGAGTAATTGAAGGTATTCCTGGAAGTCTATGCCTCAAAGAGATACAAAAAATGGTTCTGACAAGTACAGCCCACACTTTACGAAGGGCTTTATCTATGTAATTTTTTTTTTTTTTTTTTTGTCAGTGGAAAGTGTCATGATGCCATTTCTAACCTTAGGTCCCTGGGCGGGACCCGGAAAGAAATGTGTAAACGCCAGAAATCAAAGAAATAATAATAATAATAATAATAATAATAATAATAATAATAATAATAAATACAAATAGGTATGAAAATCTTTCTTTTTTGAATTTCCTGATGAATCCTAATTCTTAATTTAACGATTCAATAAGCTCCTTACGAGTTTCCCGTCAATAAAATATCCAAAGAAATTTCCCTAATACCAGATTAGATATTCAAGCTTAAAGCTTTAACAAAATATTGCAATAATAATGAAAAAAATTGACATGGTTTTCTATATACGGGAGTTTGATAGCCTTTTTTTTTTATCTTCCCTTTCTTTCTTTCTTTTTTTTTTTTTTTCTTGCTTTTTCCTTTGCTTTTTTTCACTTGAGTTTTGCCTTTTTATTCCCTAAAAACAAACAGCGCCTTTGATACATCTTTTATTCTCTTTTGGGGCATGTGATAGGAAATCATTTACAGAGGTAACCTAACAATCAAACAAAAATGGTTTAGTTTGGTTTGTTTTGTTTTACGGCATAGCAACCTCAATTGATCATTTAATGCCGACAACTTTTTTTTTCTTGGTAATATTTTTGTTTTGTCAAAAATCTATTTCTGTTAATATTTTTTTCCTCGAAAACGTATAGCTGGTAATATTATTTTTCCAAAAACCTACAGCTGGCAATGATTAATTTATTTTTTCAAAAACGTATTATCAGAGGCCTTGCTGTTGGACGTAGTTTATCGTCATACCCAGGACGCCGATGTAGTTTATCGTCATACCCAGGACGCCGATGTAGTTTAACGTCATACTCAGGACGCGGATGTAGTTTAACATCATACCCACGACGCCGATATAGTTTATCGTCTTACCCAGGACGGCGATGTAGTTTATCGTCATACCAAGGACGCGGTTGTAGTTTATCGTCATACCCAGGACGCGGATCTAGTTTATCGCCATACCCAGGACGGCGATGTAGTTTATCGTCATACCCAGGACGCGGATCTAGTTTATCGCCATACCCAGGACGGCGATGTAGTTTATCGTCATACCCAGGACGCGGATGTAGTTTATCGTCATACCCAGGACGCGGATGTAGTTTATCGTCATACCCAAGACGCTAAACAGAAATGGTTCATTGTTTATCAGACGTACTGTCCGAGCGTAACATACATGCTAAGGGACGAATAATACTACAGCTAATAATAATCGAAGAAATACAAAAAAGGTGAAACAGTATGATGTACATAGAACCTCCATTTTTAATAGATTTTTTTTATCGACAGTATTTCTTATTATCATAAGCCTTATAAATGATAGATAAAAAAAACATTAAAATTGTTGTCGCTAGCAGATATAGATTTGTAGAAGTCCCAACGAGAAATGAGTTTAAATGTGCTACTAGATTGGCATCTAGGTCCCACCCTTTTATTGTTGAAATAGTTAAATGTAACCCCAACTTCGACTCAATTTCTTTTCTCGCATCTTTTGCCTGTGGAATTCCTTTCTAACTTGCTTCCCTGATAACTACAGTCTTCAAAAAATTAAATACAACGTCAGTCGCCATCTTCTAACTCCCTAAATCGCATTCAGCTCTTATGTTTTCCTCAGTCCGCTCCCCACTATAGCCAGTCTTTTCTCACACCTTCACTCCCTGTAGTCCCATGTGTATTAGTGGCATTCAAACCTTGCTTGAATAAAAAAATTACTATAAATATGTAGTGTTGGTCATTTCTTTTTTATAAAAATGTATTGCTGGTATTTTTACTATAAAAATATATTTTTTATATTTTCATAGTGTTTTCTTTTTTTCGGTGGGGGGGGTCACTATTTACCCATAGCTGGGACCCTAACAGGTGCTACCATCCCGGGT